GAGGAAAACCCGTCTGGATAACAGCAGACTGACTGCTCGTAAAATACAGTATACGACAGGTCTGGACCACTCGTAAATTTTGTTCATCTGAAAAAAATCTTAGAATACGAAAACATTGGTGAATACCACAAATTCTCCTAAATCACTCGTACGCACAATTTAAGAACAAATCTGTGCGTACGAACGGTTCTTGCATGAGGCCCATTGTTCCTGAGCTGCAATAAGTAGCCCCATTGGAGGAGCGTTAACACAACTGCATTGTAAGTTGGTGAAACATTAACACACTGCCTGGGCGACTCATCTTACATATGTTTTAAAAAATGGCTAATTATTGAGTTTTTCCSCACCTGGAACTCCAGCATAGACTTTCCTTTGTTGGACTCCAGCATGAAGCGAAATGCCCCGATGCCTGTGTTTGGATTATCAGCTTCTTCTCGGTTTCCCTGCAAACAACAACATCACCCGGTCACTAAAAGTCTGCATGTGCAGCAAACAGCTGCAGACCAGCATAAAACAACGAGCCTCACTCATATCCTCTCATTTGAACAAACAGTAAAACTCATTCAACTGCAGACGTACTGACAGTTCTATCAGCACGGCTTTCAAATATTTGTTCAAACTTACATTGAAAGAGGCCAGGGCCTCGCTCACACTCTTCTCAATGAAGTCGTCTGTAATTCGACGTGAAGGATGCTCGTTAAAAACCGAGTTCATCAGCGCGATCTTGGCCGCGCTGCGCCGAGCTTCAGCCTTCGTCGGACAAAACTGTCAAACGGTGAAGACAATCAATACAGATTTAGAGTCTTGATCAAAGACAGCAGCGTTTCTTCTAATATGATAATCATGYTGTCAGATTGCAGATAATTTAACCTGGAAGCTTCCGAAACAGCTGCCACCTGGAAGGCTMACGTAGCAGACGTAGGGAGGACTGTTAGACGGGACCATTTCGTAAACAACCAGCGCTCCATTCCGCAGGTCGGCCCCTCTGGTCAGCTTCATCTGCCAGAACTCCTGTAGAGCTTCCACCACGTTCACTGAGGGGGGGGAGCAAGGTTCACGTTGTGTTTTATCAAATGTCACTTAAAAGTGCCTGTGACATGGCATTTTTTAAATAAATATAAAGGCATTATTGGAAAGATAACATCAATGACATATTGCAAAAATAAATTCCCGCTGCTGAGATGAACATTTACTGAGATATTTGCATTTGAAATACCAGGAAGTGATGTCAAAGGGGAATGTCCGCGTGGATTAGAGCATTGATAAAATGGCTRAGGACACAGACTGTAGAGAAGAATCTGATGTTTCTTTACATTATTTTGAGTCACTATTAAAGGCAGATGAACACRAGTCAGGGTTCAAATAATATAATTTCAATAAACAAAGACTACAGAGTTCTCTTTCTGAAATAGTTCCCCTTTGATGTCACTTCCTGTTTCACTTTGGCTGATCCAAGTTCAAAAGAAAATGTGCCATTTGTKTGACCAAATGGGTAAAAATCCCATTTTATGCAAGGTTTCTTATATAAAAATGTGTTTTCTTTAACCTTTTAATGTCACAGGCCCTTTAATATCCTTCATGCCTTAATCAGTGAATATTCTTAGAGGAGCATCTTTAAAGGTGGTCAGAAAAAGTAAAGTATTTCTCAGGTAAGATCATTTTTGGTCACAACCTTTCCACAAAACTYTTTAAAAGATCTGAGCTACTACTTTAAGTAAAAACTCCCACAGCCCCAGGACTTTAAATTCCTGTGTGACAATTTGGAAACAACAACAAAGGAGAAAAAAAAATTATAAAAAAAAAAAGTGATTCACTGGATTTGGATCTGCGAAGAGGTTCAAAAGCAGAATTCTTTGGCTGCTGTATTTCCCAGCTGGAGCCCGCTCAGCTTTGAGCGTTTGAGTTTGCTCATCGTCACATACGTTTCAGAGCCGCAGCCCGGTCGGACAGAAAACAAAAATCTCTGTCAACAAACTCCAAAGAGTGCGGCGACGTCAGAAGCGTAAATCCCTGATCTGCAATCCAGATAGCAKTACACGCTTCCCTCTGAGGGGCAGTAAAACACCCAGCGTATGCTCTCATTTTGTTGTTAGTCAGCCATAAAATAAACTTTATGCGCTTTTGAGATGTTTATAGACCCTTAATAGTCCAACATCACCAACAGGGAGGCATCTGGTCCCAAAGTCGCTCTGCAGCGTGAAAACGAGTCCCAAACATGAAGCCTTGGATTTAAAAGTTAGAATCTTTAAGAAAAAGATAAACTCCTGCAACAGATGGTCTGTCCCCCCCACAGAGCTCAACATTGTGGAATCAGTCAGATTACTGTACAAGAAGAAACTTAAGTGGTTAGCAATGCAACAGCAAGAAGATCCTGGGTTCAAAACCTGGGTGGGCTTGGGGTCTTTCTGTGGAGGAGTATGCTCGTTGTGTATGCGTGGGTTTTTCCTCAGAGTACTATTTCTTTTTCCCACAGACCAAAAAAGATGCATGTTTAGGCTGCCTTCAAGTCACAGCTTCCATTAAAAAAGGGATCTCTGTGAGATTCGCCTGCTTAAATACAAATATAAAGGAAAATTGGACAGCCTGTGCTGATTCATAATCTTGACTTGGCTACAAAACTATAAACGTGTATTAGAAGACCTTTAGTTTTCCTGCAATAAAAGCGACGAGGCAGCATTCTTTGATTTCATTTCCTGTGAAACTAAAGTAGAAACAGGCAGGAAAACCAGGAAGATGGTGAAGGATTAGATTTAACAGTGGTGTTGCTCCAAATTATTATTTAGGAGAATATCAAAAGCAGGTAAACTTCAACTMCATTTGAGGAAATTGTGTTACTGCCCGTCCGACTACAATGGTGCTCTACTTATTTTAAAGACATTAGGAAGCCTAAATGGGTTATTGGGGGGATGAGGTGGTCAGTCAATGCACTTAGGGACAATCTTTTGCAAATAAATCCTATTTGTACTGAGAAGAAATACTTAATACTTAAAATATTAACTGTAGCTGCTTCAGTTTCCATCATATTAGGTTGAGGGATGGTTCATAATAAGTCTGTATATTCTCCAAATAAACAGACATTATTGTATAAACTCATATAATTCATATGTCATGTTGTGGACCAATACACAAACCCAAACCAGGCTGGGAAACTCTTGTCCCATCTTGCTGGTCCTGTAACAGGGTGTAATAATAAAACWTGATGATGCCATAACAGTCCAAACTCCCATCCCCAGTTTGAAACAATTTCCTCACATTTATTTACTTATTTCTTTTATTTTTATTTACACATTTATTCTCTCATCGGTCCTCCTGGAGCCTTACCTCGGCCGTAGCCCTGTGTGTGCTTGGCGAAGCTGCGGACCACCGCCTCCACCGCCTCCTTCAGCACCGCCGGGTTCCCCGGGTTRCAGCGCGCCCCGGCCGGCCCCAGCCCGACTCCCGCTCCGCCGTACAGGCTGTGGAGCTGCAGCGGCGGCGGCGGAGGAGGAGGCCCGGACGCAGGGGACAGAGAGGCCGCCGACGACGACGACAGCAGCGGCGCCACGGGGACCGTCACCCCGGGCCGGAGGGAGGAGGAGCGGAGGGTCCCGGTCAGTCCAGAACCGAATCCTATCCCCGGCTGCAGCCTCTGAGGGCGGATACTGTCCGGGAGAATGTTGGATTCCATTGTCCCGACGTAACGTCTGCAGAGTCCGGTTCAACGTGGGAGACAGGACCGACTGCTGAACTGCTGACACCGSGAAAAGTCGACTTTAAACGGTGACGGGTCAAAGTGTTGGCCGAATTTCGACAGGYTCTGCTGAGAGAAGGAGTTTGTGGTCGTTGAACGGACACACACTGGTTCGCCTGWACATCCTCGCTCTCTGGATTAGCTGTTGGATTGTCAGTCGAGTGATGCCTTCATGGACGGCTCGGACACGGCTGTTTTAGTTCACATGATCGATTTGTATTCATCGCGTCTCCCATCTTTTCCTATTTTACCCCACTTATGCGGCATACAAAGTGGGTTTAATAAATGTTTTTTTCTGTTAGTTGTTGCAAATATATGTTTTTTACTCTTTTTTGCTTATATCTTCAGAACATCTTTTTTTATTTTATTGATTTTACATTGTAGTCTGCTCCCTTCTCATCTTTTGTATGGAAACCTATTTATGTCACTTATAAAAGAAAAACCCCAAGTCTTATTTGTGACACTGTTTCACAATTACAACTTATGATTATAACTGTAGTGTCTTATAATTATGATTTAGCAGGGTATAATTCTGTAGTTATGACTTACCATCGTAAACTTACAACTTATTACTTAGCGACTTGAAATTCTGACATTCTTTTGATTTTGCATCTTATTTTTATACTTATATTACATTTTTACTTCAGCATTCACCCCACCTCTTATTAATCAGTGGTACGCACAAATATGGATTAAAAATTATTTTTATGGGAAGTAAGTGTGACCTAMATCTGTGTTGTTGTGCGGTTTCCCACGGTTTTTRMAGGACGTGAAGGCAGCAGTGGAAAGTCAGAGGAAAAAATGTGTCTCAGAAATCTGAGCCTCCTGTGTTCTCCTCTGGCAGCAACACTGAACAACTACAGTGGTTCAAAAGCTCCTTCTCTGTTGCCTGAAACATGTGATTAAAAACTTGGAACTGGAGAAACATACTTTGATAAAAGAAAAATAAGGAATTCACTTCTTTAAAACAGTGAAAACTGATGTAAGTTTGCAGCACCTGGGTGTGTAACWCAGYTTGTGGCCCACCTACTTTGGCAAAACAAAGACTTGAAGAGGAAATGAGACCTCCTTCCGTGCTTCCCTTAAGACAAAAAAAAAGTGCGTAAGCATTTGAATAAAACATTTTAAACACAAATGTGCCCTAAAGTGAACCTCCTTCTTGCAAAAATGCACTTTTGAAAAAACTCCATAAATCACAGAAACATCTATAAACTGTTTATAACAACGTGCAAACACAGCTGAAAGAATAATTTATAACTGTAATGAATGTTTGACCCACTGGATGGTGTCATAAGTTATTATCCTCACTCTCTGGGTTTGTTCTCCAGCTTTTGTCCAAGTATGAGCAACTTGTTTCAGTGAATCTGAGTCATCAAGTGTGTACACTTGTGTGTTTAAACA